CATGGGAATTATGAATAGTTTTATCAATGATATTTTCAAGAAACTAGCTCAAGAAGCTTCAAAATTAGCTAGGTACAACAAGAAACTAACTATCATTCAAGGGAGATTTAGACTACAATGACGCTTGTCTTTACTAGCGAGCTCGCGAAGCATGCCATGTTTAGGGGGACCAAGGTAGGGGCAGAGCAAGAATTTTTTTTTTCAATGGGGGTGAGATGCTAGATTTTAAATTGTAAATAAAGAGAGCAAAAGGTATTACCTTTAATTTTTAAATTGTGCCCTTCGTTGTTTCATAAAGTAGAAATCATCTATAATTGAATCTGTAGTAAATTTTTCTGCAATCTCCTTTTCAATGTAAACAATTATATAATCTTTGAGAAAGTCATCTTCCATCTTGTTGTGGAGTCTTGTTTTGATGATTTTCATAGCTGAAAAAGCTCATTCAGTGGTTGTTGTTGACACAGGAAGAGTTAAAACAAGCCGAATCAATATATCAATGAAAGGATAAACTTCTAATTTTCTAGTTTCCACCTACACTTGACATAATTTAGAAACAGTAGATAAATTCTGAAATCTTGGATGAGCAGGTACATCAAGCTTAGAGTGTTGCAACTCATATTTTAGAATTATCTTTTCTTGCTTTGAAAAATCTGAAGGATAACACTTCTCCACAAGTTTGTATATGTCATCAATATTGAATGATTTATAGTCATTGCGAGGATCAAAAGCTGAGCTCAAAGTAAGAAGTTTTGTAGCTTGCTCATTGAAACTACAATTTAGTTCTTTCAATTGACAATCTAACACAATTGTGAATATATCCACTCAATAGTGATGCTCAATTGTTACATCATCCTTTTTTTGACGAGAACGAATTATGTCACAAAAAGAAGCACTCATATCAAGAATTTGGATGGAATGAGTCTCACAAAAAGAAGTGACATCATGTAAAAGAGTATCCCAACCACTATTTCTTCAATCTTGAAGCAAAAATTTTGTGCTAAATACTAAACCCATAGCATTTAAAATATCTTGATTTTTTTGTTGCAAAGCTTGGCAAAGTTTATCATTAATTCCCATGATTTCCTTCATCAAATGTAAAATGAAGACAAAGCTAAATGATAGCAATGACTTAAGAGCAAAAGTAGCCTCACCTCGTTGAGAGTATGTGGATCCTTCAACAGCCACATTTTCAAGAACTGAGGAAGTTGGAGTAAACATTTGTAAAATGCTGCATATTGACTGAAAATGATAACTCCATCTTGTGTCCACTAATCTTTGTAAAGTGCTCAATTGATTGGCTACTCTTCCTATTTCAATCTCATTAATTTCAACTAAACGAGCAATTTCAAATGCATATGTAGCTTGCAACTCATCATGACGCTTGCAAGAAGAATTGACAATGTTAATTATAGAAGTTAAATTTTGAAAAAAAAGCATGAACATCAATTGCTCCTTTAGCTACAACAATAAAAGCTAATTGTAATTGATGAGTTAAGCAATACACATACTAAGCATAATGACATTCTTGAAGAATTAAAGCTTGTAATCCATTCCATTCTCCACGCAAATTACTAGCTCCATCGTACCCTTAACCTCAAACATTTTGAATGTTGAGATTGTGATGGGATAAAACAGAACAAATCTCTTATTTAAGAGTCAATGCATTTGTCTCTTTAACATGTACTACATCTAGAAGACGCTCATTCACAAACCCATCTTTATCAACAAATCTAACAATGATTGACATTTGTTCTCTTTTAGATTTACCACGAGCTTCATCAACAATCAAATAAAATTTTGCATCACCAATCTCTTTACAAATTTCGGCTTCAACCTTTCTAGTAAAAACTTGTAAAATCTCCTTTTTGAATAGTTGGAGATGTATATTTTGCATTTTGTGGCGCATTCCCTAAGACAACTTCATTCACTTCCTTATTATAAGAAACAAAAAGATTGATCATCTCAAGAAAATTACCGTAGTTTTTTGAATCCAAGCTTTCATCATGCCCATTGAAAGCACAAGCTTGAAAAGTTAACCATCTAACAGCATCAACAGAAGCTTTGAGACGAAACTAGTTCTTCTTAATTTGTTGTGAACTTTGTTTGTATAACACTTTTTCAACATAACATGACTAATTCTTAAAATCTTCAAGGCATCTAACTGCAATATTGTGAATTGAATTTGGATCCTTTCTTAGGTGAGCTAAAAGTGCACATTTATCCCCATTGTTAACTTTTTTCTATTTTTTCAATCTGATCGAAGTAAATGTCTCAACCCCTCCTTGTTTCCCACTTGGTTTTTTTTTTGCAAACAAATAGCAAGGAAAGCAAAAGGCAGCATCCTTTGCAAGTGAATATTCTAACCAAGGAAATCTTGCCAACCAATAAGCTTGAAATTGGCAAAAATTTCCCTCTAGACCAAAATGTGGATAAACAAGTGGGTTGTTTCGATAGGGACCAAATTGTATATATGCCCTACGAATTTCATCCTGTTGATTGATAAGATAATCTGAAATTTTTGGAAATATGCCAGGATCATGTTCCAAAGAAGCAATATCAATGTTTTGTTCAATTTTCAAAACTTTAGACGGAGATTGTTCCAAATTAGGCACTATATTTGGCTAAGGTTGAAGGCACATATCCTAGATTTGAAATTTGTGCTACTAGAATAGATTGGGTGCTATAGTCATCATTGTTTCTCTCTTTTCTCTTGGAAAAACAATCAATTGTTATTTTCTTAGACATCTTCCAATCTTAAAAACAAAAAAATCAACCCATTATATAATTGAAATAGTAAAATAATGTTTTGGTAATAAACACTAAAATATATACCATTGATTCAAATTTAAGTAGCTAGTTAAATTAGGGCTAGGTTTTTGGCAAAGCTTTTTATTTTTTATTTTTTATAAGAAAATTTTCTCTATTAAATTATAGTAAACACTGGAATATATACTATTGATTCATACATATTGATTCAAATTTAAGTAGTTAGTTAAATTAGGGCTAGGTTTTTGGCAAAGCTTTTTATTTTTTATTTTTTATAAGAAAATTTTCTCTATTAAATTAAAATAAAAATATGAAATTCTAATATTTAAAGTGTTTATAAATTTTATTAAAAATATTACTTATAAGGAAGTT